GCGTCGTGAAATTATGGCGTGTGCAAAAGCACCGTACTGCTACACAGTACCATGCACTGGACGCTGGTGGACGCTACTAGACCACAGGTCGATATCCATACTTTCCTTAGTCCCTGGACGCTAATGATCGCTGGCGGACGCTGGTAGACGCTGGTAGACGCTGCCGTTCGCTAGATCGATATCTATACTTTCCTAGTCGCTGACGACGCTCGAAACGCTGATGGTTGCTGGTGGTCGCTGGTAAACGCTGCCGCAAAGTATGAACCTACCCTTGGGAAATGAAGCTAATGGACTTGATGGAACCTTTGAGCCAACAATGCTTTGCTTTCACTAGTGGTTGTTACAAATGTAGTAGACTGGTTCAGGAACCATACGGTGGATTCTGTGAGGGAATCGACGACGTCTTTGGTGACACTAACACGCTTAACTCGAGCGAGTTCGGTAAGCAGCTCACTACAAAGCTAATACAAGAGGTAACGAATAAGAGTAGTAGTTACAAATTACAGATTCGAGGAGCAATGGCACGATTATGGACGATCTATGGATAGACCCCATGCCTCCGACGAGTGATCAGAAAGAAGCCACTGACTTTTCGCTGATTGATTTCTCCGATAGTTTCAACCCCTTCCCCAGCCAAGCCTATCCCAGAGAGCCTATGGAGCCGCCGTTAGATCCATTCGATGTACTCCAGACTACCAGCAGTCAAAACAGTTGGGAGAGTTATCGATGCGACGACGGCAGCACCAATCAAAAATGTTTAATGGATGAAGAGAATGGTCAGCTGAAGAACGCCTATAGTCAAGAAGACGTTCTTCAGGAGATTGTAGCCCATATCGACACACTGATTACGACAAGAGATCGCCTTTCTCGTAGGGATCCCATTCCTGAACAACAGCGTTCCATGGAGGAACTGATCTCGTTCTTTGAAGATCCCCCACCGAGTGAGCCCATCCTCAGTGGCGATTCCTCTGATGAACAGAATAGTACAGAAGGGTTACAATCACGGACTGATATTAATGTGACGGAAGGTTTCTGCGTTGGCCCACAAAGGCCAACAAATCATGCATTTTCAGAAGAAGAAATTAGCTACAACCCCATTCCTCATGATGAAGACGTCGACTTGAAGAAGGCCGTCATCGATTCCCAAATAGAAACCGTCTTGTCGTCGATCTTCCCGGCTGACATTGTCCAACAAGTACTCGCCGTGAATGCCAGCCGGAATGTCGATTTCCTAGCCGATCAATGCGCTGAAATGTGCGTGTAAATCGACTGCATGAGGATGTTCTTGAATAAAGACATCGTTTACAATGGCGACTACATTGCAGTACAATATACTATACAATTTGATGCTATAGGTTATTGTGACCAGGCGGAAGGATGAGGATATGCATCGACGGTTTCCCTACCCTGCCACGTAAAGCATGGGTATTGGAGGGCCCACAGCCTCCGTGGGGATGAGTCGCGCTAATGAGCATGCTCTAAACAGGGAAGTCCGCCAACTTACCATGGAACTTTGAATGGAGACCTGGGTAGATCGATAGAGTCTATAAGGTTATTTACAAATATAGATAGCAGTTGGCGGACTTCCCTGGTAAGGGTGCCAATTACCTGCCAGCCCGCTACTGGCATGTTGGGCCTATCCTGGGTGCCTGACATAGTGCGATTGCGTGATGGAGCGGGGTGGGGGGGGGATTTACAAAGGAGTGGCCGATTGACTGGATTTGTTACTACACGTCAGAACAGAGATAATCAGATGTTCATGTGAAGCTACACTACTATTAAAACCTGCTAGAAAGAAAGAATACATCCTAAACTACCTCTAGCCACAGTGTTACAGACTTAAAAGAGTGAAAAGAGCAACAACCCACTTCAGGTAGAAGAAGGTTCTCCTTCCCTATTCCACATATGAGTCATTAGGAGAAACTGAGGCTTAGGAATGATTAAGGCAAACCAGCTACTTACGGCGGGGGTGAATTAATCGCGAACGTAGATGGCGCATCGGTCCATTGTGTTGGGCAACGAGACGATTGGTATGAGGGTAGTGCTCAGCAGGACAGACGACTACATCGTCTGACGGGCGCGCAGGCTGAGTCCAGAGCAGTATAGTAGTTTCTCGCGCTTCGAGTGTCTTCTATCGCTCAAAATGATGTTTAGAGTAGGATGGCGAACGAGCCTGGCTCTTTCAAGGCGTATACCTTGACGCTTCCAGGTCGTACGCAAGTCACGACATAGGTGGCATGTGTAGACAAAGGGTTCTAGTGGGTGTAGATACGGTTGTTATCGTCTACATTAGGCGGGGCATTTCCAGGAGGGATGAGATGAGCCCACGTGTAGCGTTTCCACCATTTGTTATTTCTTTCTCAAATCGGTCGGTCACCGATCACTATTAGAGGAGCAGTGCAGCCCGGGTCAATGTAGGAATGCCAGGAAGTCAAACTCATTTTTTAGATAGACCAGGTTCAGGACAGTGACGTGGCAACACCATTTTTATTTTTTTTTGCAATTTCCATCAATCGTGTAGCATCTGCTACGCAACCGTTATACATATTTTAGCCCCTCACGAAAACGATGACGGTGAAGCAATAGGCTGTAAAAGAGCGTTCCTCTACGAACGCTCTCATAAAGCCCAGAAAGGTCATAAGAAGTATCAGCTAGCAATTCTTTCGTATTGAAAAAAATTCAGCCAGTTATCATCGTTGTACACTTCATGTCAGCTCTTGGAGGAGGCGTGTCGATGGGATTCGCTGTAGGCGAGGCGAAAGGGAGTCTGTGAAATGTTTGCAGTGTAGGACAGAACGTAGAGGGCTGTAGTCGTCTCTGCCTCCCCTTACGTTGTTTACACGACCTTCGTCAATGTCCTGAATCGGCCGCACCTCAAATTCAGACCTCAGCCGCTCTGGAAAGCCATCGTTCTTTTGTGGTTCTCTTCAGTTATCTCTGGATGCTCCCAACGATGGAACGCGCTGCCGTCGCAAATACGTCTCCTATTTCTCGTGGGTTCCAACACCGCCCACTCCTACGAGTATCACTACGCATTGGCGGACTGAACCTGCCAAATTTTTGAAGGCCTTCCTTATCCAGGTAGGCAGCAAACACAGCATCTTTGTTAGGGAACGATGAGCACGTACAATACACGATCTTGTTTGTTTGTTTGTTTACTGGCTTGTCTGTGCGTTTTTCCGGTACTACCTGGGTAGCCACCCGGAGAGTCCCGGTCAGCTTCAGGAGGGCGTGAAGCACAACTTTAATCAAAGGCGTGAGGCACGAGTAGCAAAGGTGCTAGACAGTGAGGAAAATGGCGTAAAAGCGAAGTGAAACGGTCAAAAACGTGCAAAAAAGCCTTTGTTCTACACGACTCAGGAAGCAATTTCGGACGAGTTTCCCGTTGGCATCGTGCCAGTAACCGCTACGGTAGATACGGCTGCATGTATGTACTCATATATCCATGCAGCACCGCAGCCGCTTCATATCAACCTTCGCTTCATATTTTACTTCGCAATACGAGCGTCAGGTACGGTCGTCCATTTGTGGGCGGGCGGGCGCGGTGGGCGTCCTGGTCGCTATGTTGCAGCTTGATAGGGCGCTATAAGAAAACCAACCAGCGCAAATTGCTGAATTCTGTAATGCTAAGCGTATTAATCCTACATGTCTTGGGGATCTATCACGTCACTTGCCGTTAATTTTGCCAGTGAATGGTCGACGATATTGACTAGTTCCCCCCCCCCCTACTGGGCACTAACTTTCACGCTTGGCGTTAGGCGCTGCTCAAGCGTGCGGCCACGCCCCGTTCCCATCTTCCTGCCATAAAGAGCGTGACCTTTGCCTCTGCTCTGAATCGTCTTTACCGACTTTAGATGATCGACTTCAGCGCCCTCTCAAAAAAGTCCGTAGACACGCCCTTTCAGGGATCGCGATATGTGGGCTGTGTCAGTCTTGTCAAAGAGAACTTGTACGTACGTTTTGCAAATTCGGCATTTGAAAATTTCTGGCAATATGTGGTCACTTGATCACTGATGAGCAACTCTTTATTTTGAGCGACGTGTGAGTCCTTTGATTTGCATTGGCAGACCCGATTTGGGCTACCTTCGCCCGGGCGGTGGTGACGTGAAGTGTCGGATGTCGATTTCAGGAAGAGAACTGCAGGCGACTCGTTCGGCCGTCCTGTAAACACTGATATAAACTTCCACCTCTTTCAACAAATTTCTAAGTATATAAGCAGTGCTAAAAAAATCCACTCACAAAGAGAACACATTCTTTGGCACACTTAGCATTCCCACTGTGTTCATGCATATGACTTTTGCCAAATGTGACAATCGAACTGCTTGGAGTTCTTCTATAAACATACAGGTATATGTTTCTAAGCTGCAGCGAACATAAGGTTCCAATTCTGACCGCGCGACGCGACATGTCGCGCGGCAGCGCAAAATTGATAGCGATGTCCACTACCACCGATCGCCTATAGTGCATAACTCCTCTGCCAGAGCTGACATGAAGACATAGTGGTGTGAATCATGTGGACTTGAGAAAGAAATTAGTCCCGATTTTGACTGCACGAATTCGCCGCATATGGAGCAGCGGCATGAAATTGGTGACGATGGGTGTCAGAATTTCATGATATGTGACTCAATCTACACCATGCGCTGATTCTAAAAGTTCCACCCTTGGTTCTACATAGCCTGTCAGATAGGTTCAGTTATGAGGCCGCTTATGTGCTTTTAAAGAGAGTGGGCACGATGGCTGGGGGAGGGCGGTTGCTGCCAACGTCACTGGTGGAAGGGCTAGGAGAGGGCGTTTGGTCGCACCCCACGCTGCCCTTCCACCCAATGAAATGGCCTTCACACAGCCATTATCTTCGAGGTGCGCCCCTTAATCCTAAGAACACGTCGGCCTAAAAACGGAACTTATCTAACAGCCCACTTCATAGTCATAATCCTTGCACCGAAGAGGTGGTTACGTGACAACTAGAAAGTTTCGTGAGGGTCATGGCGCGAAAGGGCAGAGCGCAGAGAAGTAGGGGACTGCGACTCCCAGGGCTTCGAAACTTACAAAAACAAAAATCAAATCGCGAGCCAGTAGAAATGCCTTCCCAGGAGTGAGGGACTCTGCGGTAGACTAGCCAGTCACCGTGCAAGAAAGTTGGAATGTGTCACCACCGTGGTCATAGAAA